AAAACGGTGGGCCTGGCAGCACTCAAACTACAAGTAAAACAAGGGTGAGCAGCTAGAGTGCCCCGGCCCGCCCTATCTTGTCAGCCAAATGGGTCATGCTCTAGTGTGTGTGTGTATGGAGGACTTATTGTTGATGGGAATGTGAAGCTCTTTCCTCCATACCTACTCAGGCTACCTGAAGAGCCCACTCTGCCCAATATAGAACTAGAATTTGGCTTTGTAAGCCACCATTGACTGTATATTTTGGGTTCTGATGACTCATTTACATTAAGTTACTGTAAATTTCTACTGACATTCAGAAATTTTTGCAGGGACCCAGCACCCACCTTTGTCACTCTTGTTAGGAAGGGGCCATCCCATAGAGACTATGGAAAGGACTCAGGGAGCAGTTAGGGGAGACCATTGGTGGCTCCTTTGAAGGGCAGTGAGCTGGTCCAAAGCAGCTACAGGAGAGGACAGGGGCTTCCAGAAGCCTCAGGGTATTCTGGGAAATTCTTACCGGGAACTCAAGTGACAGACTTTTGTGTTTGGGGATTTGGATCCCCAGGCCCCTGTTTTCTACTTGGATTTTAGAGCCACCCCCCAAAAACAAACAAACAAACAAACAAACAAACAAACAAACAAAAAAAAGCCCCATCCAGTGTCCTGGAGGCTAGCGATATCCAGAAGAGGCCAGGCCGCCTTTACAGAAGTGTGCAGAGGAGGCCAGGCCCCCTATACAGAGGCTCTTCAGCAGAGCCCAGGCCGCCTGTATAGAAGTGTGCAGAAGAGGCCAGGATGCTTCCATTACTTTTGGAGGCTCTAGAGAAGTTTCCTACCAGTTGCATTAGGTCCTTGGTAGTCCTTGTGGTCACATTGTTTCAGATAGCACCTATTGTTACATGGCCTTCTAGAATTAGCCTGTGTGTAGATGTCCCTACCTTTGGAGAGATACATGTTCTTATGTTAGAACCTGTCTTTATCCACTAGGGCCTTATTTCTAAGTGAGGTCATACTAAGAAAGGGAGGTTCATCAAACTTGAGAAGGGATATAGTCCAGTACACAGGACCCACTCTCCCTGCTCCATCTCACATTGGTAGCATGCTTTCCAGCTTCCTGTACCTTAAACACCCACAGTTCAGGACTCTGTAGCTAAGCTCTGTGTTCAAAGCCCACTTTCTGTCAAGGAGAGCTCTGTACTGGAGGAGTGGATAGTCTGCAGATTGGGAGCGTCTCAGGTGGCCTGCATGTGATCACTGCACCACTGTTGTCTCATTGCCCAGGTTCTCTCCTTGCTTTGTGTGCAAGGATCTGGAGATGAAATGGTAGGAAAAATCACCTGCAACCAGGGGCACTAGAGTATGGTCTGGTAAACAATTGCATAGCCCCTGGACCCACTTACGTCATGAGGACCTAAGTCTGAATATCTAGTGCACATGTAAAACCTGGGCATAGCTATGTGTGTTGGGAACCCCAGCGTTGGAGGCAGAGACAGGCAAATTCAGGGAGGAAAGCAGCAAGATTCATGTCTGGTCTCAGTGGAGGGAGACAAAAGCAATGGAGGAAGATCTCTGACAGTGTCCCCTGGCCTCACCATGTGTGCCACCACTCTTCCTCCTTCCTTGTAAACACATGCATACAGTGCAGACCCCCCCCAATCACACACACACACACACACACACACACACACAATGGAATTCGAGGACATGTGTTCAGTAAAATTCTTTAAAGGGCCCCAAGAATCTGTAGTTTAGCTGAGTTTGTACAAATGCCTTTAATCCCAGCACATCTGCCCAGGCGAGTCAGGGCTGCATGACTGTACTGCTAGTTTTATGCCAACTGAACACAAGCTAAAGTCATCAGAGAGTAGGGAACCTCAATTAAGACTCGGGGGAGGGAGTGAGAGGAGAGGAGGGAAGGGCAGCTACTTAAAATTAATAATTAAAAAATTAAAAGAAAAAAAGAAAGTTCCTCTGTAAGATTAGGCTATAGATAAGCCTATAGGGCATTTCCTTAATTAGGGCCCAGCCCATTGTAGGTGGTGTGTAGGTGGTGCTGCCCTTAGACTAGTGGTCCTGGCTTCTATGAAAAAGCAGGCTGAACAAGCCAGAGAAGGCAAACCAGTAGCAACACTCCTCTATGTCCTCTGCATCAGTTCCTGCTTCCAGGTTCCAGCCCTGTTTGAGTTTCTGCCCTGACTTCCTACACACACACACACACACACACACACACACACACACACACACACACACACACACACACACACACACACACACACACACACACACACACACACACACACACACACACACACACACACACACACACACACACACACACACACACACACACACACACACACACACACACACACACACACACACACACACACACGGGCCAACAAGGCATAATAAATTTGACTTGTCATGAGAATATGTGCATGAATGATAAGTTTGTGGATGGTTGCTGTCTGGGCCAGGCATTGGTTGAATAGTTGTCTTTCTAGCACCTCACTGTTTTGGAGAAAGCTACCCTTTGATGTTGGGGAAAGACCCTTGTTTGGATGGATCAAGTGAGTAAGAGAAACAAGTTGAAGCTTCTTGGCTTTTCCTGCAGCTGTGGCCAGGCTGGCCACACACTAATCAACACAAGTGAGTGTCTGCCCTGGCACAATTGTTTCCCTTTGTTTTATTTTGGTTTTGCTTCCTAGTAGATTCTTGGTGGGACTCAGTTTCATATGCAGATACTGCTGAAAGGTCCTGGGGCTTCTTGCATTTATTTTAGGGTTTGCACCAGTTTTGCATTATCTCAGTTGGGTTTTAAGTAGAGCTTCAGAATTGACAGTGGATGGAGGAAAACCAGATGGTGTGTGCTCCAAAGCACAGTGCTCCCAGGTTTCTGAGTGCCCTGCTCCAAACTCTTGCCCTCTGCCACTTTTTCATATGTCTGAAAAATTGGCAGCGTTTCAAAAATGTGTTAGGGGAGTTGCTACTAATGAAGCTGAGACTGTAGCACATGCTTGTTCCTGTCCCTGTCTTTGTCTTGTCAGTGCTTCAGTGCTGTGCTACCCCTTGGGAAGTTCACTGGAGGTCATCTGCAGGCTAGCTGGAGTTGGCTACCTGGAGGTGATGGGTGTGGCTATTGGCTTGGGTGCCAGCACTCACTTCACTACTGTCAGACATTTCCACATTCCAGAGCCTGTTTGGAGAACCTGCACATCAGGGCTCTGTTCCAGATGCAAAGTAAGCAGGAAGGGTGAAGGAACTGAAAGTTCATTATTGGGAGATAAGTGGAAACTTGCCCCTGTGTGCCACGCATAGGGGCCTACATTGCTGTATTCCTTTTGTAGCTGAGGGCTCATGTCAGCCAGACTCTTGCCAATTGCAGCAGGGATCTCCCAAACAGACTGAGTAGTTGGTCTTCTTGGGCAGCCAAAATGTACCCTAGACACCCAACACAAGCTGGGATTTGACTTTTTTCGGATTTTATCCACCACCAACTTAACATTAAAGCCAAACCTCAACTTGCATTATTCTCTCAAAGCACTGCCAGGACATTCCAGAGACCAGGATGTGGTTGACTTAGAGAGTGTAGCGGGCCTTCCTGTGCTTACTGCAGTACACCTGTACTACTCTTGCACAGTGCTGTGACAGGTAACTCTAAACAAGGCAGAGCACATGCAGCACATATTTCCAGCGTTAGTAGTAGATACCTGCTGGGTGCTTGAGTTAGTCACAGAGCAAGTGTTCTAGTGTTGCTGGGACCTTCCTCAGTCTTGTTTGTAAAGATAGATGCCAGATGTCATCTTCCTTGCCCTGGCAACTCTCCTGGGCTACAGTGTTTCAAAGAAGTTCTTGGGGTGAACAGCCCATGCCCACCCAGTTGGTTCTTCCTGCATGAGTCCTCCTCATGGCTGTCCTCCTTCACCCGGAGGAGCATTTTCAGTGAAACCATACTTGGGTTGTTATGGTCTCATACAGCTCTGGCTGACCTCCAACTTACTTAAATAGCCAAGACTGGTTTTGAACTCCTTATCTCTTGCTTCTCCCTATCAAGTGTTAGGATTATTTGCCATCATGCTAATAACGCTAGAAGGTGGCTTGTTTTGGTAACTTCCTGGGAGGTGCCTTGGAGCTTTCCCTCCTCTGGTACTGGAGGCAGGTTTGGGAATGGCCCATACAACAAAACAGGTACATGTCTGTTCCTGTTGGTAGAGAACTAGTCACTAGGATGATGAGTCTTAGAAGTGTGGACCAGAGACACACAGGGGCAGGCCCAGGAAGCATGGCCAGAACTGGACAGTTGAGGTATGGCCAGGCCTTCCCAGGCAAGTGCCCTTCCTGTGATCATGGTGATGGATGGCACCCTTGACATGAATGTTGATCTTCACGTTTCTTCTCACAGAAGCCAGACAAAGTGAGAGAGCACCAGTTCTTCCACACAGTTGAAATGGACTTTGTCAGATCCCATAGCCAGGGTCCAGGCCTAGTAGCTCTAGTCTTTGAAAGCCATGACTTTCTTCTAAGCTTTGGCCAGATGAGAATCTTGTTTCCATTCGTTGATTGATTGGTCAAGTTACACCTTTGTGTTAACATTGCAAATTCAGGTTTTCTTACAGGTTTTCATATAGAAAGTGGTTTTACTGGCAATACTGGCAGGCAGCACTGTTGGGGCGCTGAGCAGGGAGAGTGCTGCTTTGCTGCAGTCAGCACAGGCAGAGCTTTATGGGAAACAGGTTCCATGATTGCAGAAGTTTTCTTAAAAGCAGCTACAGTTACTTTAAACTCATTATGAGGGAATCTTGTTAAAATGTAACATGATTGGGAAATTGTGGTTATGTTACAAATCCTGACTTGGGGTTTCTAAGGGCAGCCTGGCTTCTGAGTTCCCAGGAGATAGCAAACCAGGTAGCCACGGTGTGCCAGCACCTCCCCCTTTTCCTATCTCTTCCCCACAAGGTGGGATCTGTTGCTTGACATGTCACTGCCAAGCCTATAGCCCCCATTCTGATCTCTTCCAGTCGTGGGGCCTGTGCCAGAATCCCATTCCTGTCAGCGGTGACTCAGTGGCCCAGGCTAATCCCTCCCAGCTTTGGCCTCTGGGAGGAGACACACTTGATCTGCCTGCTGGAAATGAGATGATCCAGGTTTGTAAGTGTTTCTTGTTGGGAGATGTGGGTGGCCTGACCAGTGTTTTCTAGGGACTAAGAGAAGAAGGGTCAGGTTAAAGACCTGGACAGCAGGCAGGGCCTGCTTGCCACATAGGTATATGGCCCTTTGAGAACCTACAGCAAGTTAGACGATGCCACACATTGTGAGCCTAGGCTTACTTACAGAAGCTGCCACATAACTGGTATTGCTCATGTTGGTATATCCACCGAGGCCTGAGGATAAGAGCTTGCTTTGGTAGCCAGAAACACCAGAGACACCATAGGAGGAAAGCATGTTAGGGGTTTAGCAGAGCTAATGAGGTATCTATGAACAGGTATGTGCCTTATGTGTACATGCATGCATGTATACACATGTATGACCATATGTGTCTGAAGACTATTAATGGCATATGAAAGCATATGGTTTGATGACTGACTAGGAAGACAGACCCAGCTGAGGAGCTCAGAGACACCCCCCCCCCCCCACCAGCTTTTTATCCATGGAGGCAGGATCATTCTCTGTTGCAGCAGTTCTAGTACTGATGTCCTTTCCTTCTGGAGCATGGTTTTAGTGGGATGCAGGGTTGGCATGGGAGCATGTGGGACCTACTGAGATCCACAAGAGCTGCTGAGTGGGGAGGGCAGGAGGTACTATGGGTGAGTAAATGAAGGAGAAGTCCCACGCTATGTTGGCTGACCGAGAGATGGCAAGGACAACTCACACAGTGGGAGGGTCTGGAAGAGCCAAAGTTCCAACCCAGTACTACCGAAAGCTGTCCCCAAAACAAGAGCTCCATCTGCTCTAAATGTAAAATTCTTGCTTTTGTTTTAAGTTGAACTGCTTGGTCATATGAAGCAAAGCACAATGCCTAGACAAATGTAGTTTTGAGCAAAAATAATGGACCTGACTACAAGTCAGAGTGAAAGGAGGAAGCCTGCCAATGACTTGAAAAAAGCCAGGTCATTTTACTCTATTCAGGCTTCCCCCTGAAAGGGGACAAGCTTTGTCTAAAACAAGGTGTGTTTACTGTCAGCCAGCTATTGGGCAACTTAGCATCTGTTGGCTTGGCTTTGCTCTGGAGAGGGAAGGAGTGGCCAGTAGCATTGTGCAGTAGCTGTGCCAGAGCAGGGTGTGTGAGGTAGTGGTAATGCTGAGGTATTTTGGGGTAGAAATACCAGGCAGATATTTATGTTGAGTTTTGAACTTGCCTGGAAACCAATTACACAGATATGTACTTGCACACTCCTTTTCCTTAACTTGAACTTGAGCACCTGAATAAGGGTAATGACCAGCTTTCCCCTGATTTTGCACAGCCTATTGTCTGCCACTGTGGCCCAAGGGTTGGCTGACCAGGATTTGTGGCTCCTATGAGGCCAAGGAGACTGTCCTCTTATCCCCACATGTTGACATCAAGACAAGCAGAAACAGGTCCAGAGAGGTGGGTCATGAGGGCCAGTTATGTGCAGAGACAGGCTAGACATTAGGTTCACTATTTGTGTTGTCTCTTGGCTCCCCTCTGAGCTGAGTTTGTCAGGGCCTCCATAGGTGAACAGAATCTAACTGGAAGTAAGGTTGACCCAGCGGCCACTGTGTTCTCTAAGGAAGAGGTTGGCCAGTTTCCAAAGGAATACTTGTTGTCGGCCCCTTATGAAAGATACTTCGTGACACTACCACGATGACATCAAGCATGGGTCTGCTAGCATTCATATCCCCAAGTAGTTGTCTCACTTTTTTCTCAGTTATTCAAAAACATTAAAAAGGGCTTTCAAGTCATTAAAGAATATTTTCCTACTGCCTGCAAAACTTAGTCTATTTTGGTTTGGCAGACCCTCATTAGTATAAAAGACACTGTTCTTACTTGGAGTGTGTCCTTTAAAAAGGCACATGTTATGTATCTGACAGACAGGCCAGCACTATTTACAAGTACAGCTCTTCTTAGCAGTTCCCTGGTGAGTTTGTACTGCTGTCTCTGGTTGTGGGGAACCATGTCACATGCTGTGTTCTTTATATCACAGGATGAGTGCCATCTTGCCAAAGGTGTCTTTGATATGGGCAATTCTGTTCATTGTTGGATTCCATGTCTGGGACTCCTGGCCTTCCCTCCTAGAATAGTACACAGTCCTAATAAAGGGCACCTTAGTTCCTGGCAACTATGAGTAACCAGACAAGAGACTCTGTATTGCCTGCCTAGAGCCACCTGACCAGTTGTGTAAGCACCAAGTGGACTTTGTGGGAAGTAAGCCAGTAGGAAGGCTAACCAGAGGAGGGGTCACCCCAGACCTATCCCCCTCCTCCCGATCCATTCTGAGGCAGGGCCTTGGTCAAGCAGGGTCAGAATGATGGGCACAGCTAAAAAGGCCTGAAGGTTATGTTCTATAGTGACTTTGCTTCTGGGTGTCATTACCTCTTTGGTCACACCCTCCCCTAGGAACCTGTTCACTCCTCCAGTCTCCCTGCCATAGTGTAGCTCTTCTTTTTTCTTTGTGTGTGTGTGTGTGTGTGTGTGTGTGTGTGCGCGCGCGCGCGCGCACGCTTGCGTGTTTGCATTTGCTTGCTTGCTGTGTGCCTGTGCTGTGTCTGTGTTTGCACGTGCAGAGGTGGATGTTGATGTCCTCATCTATCATCAACTTATTTTTTCTGAGATGAGGTTTTTCACTGAATCGGGAGCATACTGTGTTGGCTGGGCTGGCTGGTGAGTTAGCTCCAGCAGTCTTTCTGTTGGGGCTTCAGACATACACAGCTATTCCTGACTTGTGTGTGGATGTTGACTATCCAAACTCAATCCCTCATGCTTGCATACAAGCAGTGTACCCACTGAGCATCTCTGCAGTTTTCCCTCTCCTTGTTTTCCTATCTAAAGCTACTGATTCCCTTTGGGCTCTGCTCAGGGGGTTGTTAAACTCTCCTGCTATGTCTTCAGTGTGCCTGTGCAGTTTTCTTTGGTTAGCTCTTTCCAAGTTCTAGCTTATTTGTTCTTACACGGGCTTTAATAGACTAATGTCTATTTAATAGACTAATGTCTAACAAGGATATTTGCAGAGGGCTATATGTGGATGTGGCAAATTCCGTGGCAGTCAAAAACTCAATACTCACTTAACCAGGTGTCTCTCTGCAGTGGGAAGTGAGGCTACATTGCACTTAAATCTGCTGTGGGCCGGGGGCCTCCTGCTGCTTCTGGACCAGGAGAGGATGGGGGTCCACTGACCAGCCTGACTTTGTCCCCAACCCCAGGTACTGCAGGGTGCTCAACTCATAGCTGTGGCCTCTTCGGACCCTGCTGCTACAGGAGTAGATGGGTCACCTCTCCAGGGCAGTGACATTCAGGTTCAGTACGTCCAGCTGGCACCTGTGAGTGACCACACAGCTACAGCACAGGTGAGTCCTTTGTCCCTCCCAGGCTCAGTCCCACCAGCCTCCCTAGTAGATAGGAACTCTGGGCTGTGTCTGACATTCCTCTAGAGGTAGGAACCCTTGTAGAGAGGCACACAGGTGCAGTTCAGGCATGGGTCTTTTGTTAACTCTTAACTCCTGAAGTGATGATGTGAGGGCAGTTCTGGCAGTTTGCAATTTGAGCTGTACTTGAGATGCTGTCTGGAAATGTTTATCTAGATCTGAAACTAGACCAAAGCTCTGCCCTGCCCCCACTTTCCTCAGAGCCACTCTTGGAGGGTGCCCAGAGTCAGGGCCTCTGTTTGCTGAGAACTCAGTCATCTGCCAGGCAGACCATCCATCCCACTGGCCAGGGCTCATGTGGTCTTAGCCCAACCAAGGTAGGTGACAGTGGTAGAGAGGCAGAAGGTTCAAGACATCTGAGTCCGCCTCAAGTGGACACGTCTCCTACCTCCCTGTGTATACCTCTAGCTGGCTCTGGTAAGAGCTCCTTCCTTGTGCTGTGGGCCTGGGACAGTGAGCAGTGCAGGTTCTAACCTGAGAGCCTGAGAGCCAGCCCTCCGCCTTAGGCTGGTCATGATTCCCCCAGGGGCTGTTGAGGCCTATCTGCCTCAGGAATTGGAAAGGCTTATGGAGCTGCCAGGCCAGGTGCCCTAGGAGACAGCACTGAGAGCTGTGTTCCCTAAAGGCCTAGTAATGACTCTTCCAGGTTCTCAGGGAAGGAACTTGGGCTGAGGTGAACGCCTCCCAATCTTTAGGTCTTAGCCAGCCATAATACCCGTCCAGCCTCAGAAGGCTACTCCCTTTAGCTTGTCATATAGCTGCCCTCTTGATCTCACTTTTGCGAACTTTTGATAAAACCCAGGGCCTTATTTCTGCATGCTGAGCGGAGCTTCATAGAAAGCACCTGCAGTCCACATCCTTCCACCTGAACTGTAATCCTCTTCCCACCCCACCTTTTTTTTTTTTTTTTTTTTTTTTTTTTTAAGTGAGCTAGACACAGCCTCAGCCATGTCATCCCCATTATTGAGAGAGGAACAAGTCACTTTTTTTTCATACCCCCCCCCCCTGCAAAGACAGGATCTTACTATGTAGCTTTGACTTTCCTGGATCTCACTGTGTAGACCAGGCTGGCCTTGAACTCACAGAGATACTCTGCCTTTTCCTCCCTTCTTAAAGCAAAGACTTAGGTGTACAGTAAGAGCTGTCAGGTGCCAGTACTGTGGAGATGTGGCTATTGAGACTTCTGCCTCATGTGGTGCAGGCCCTGTTGCTGACTCAGCACCAAAACCCTGGTAGCTTATCTTTTAGTGCCCCTTCAGTACAGCTGAGATGGAAGATCAATGAATGACTCGTTCAAAGGTTGCAAGTTTGCACCTTCAAACAGTGACTGCATAGTCTTTCTAATGTATATCCCTGATAGGCACCATGTTTTTAACTGTCCCAAAATGCTACTTTAAAACACTGGGGCAGTTTCTGTAGAAGTCAGTGTGATCCTGAGATTCTAGGCAAATGTGTCAGGTTAAGAACATGCATGGCTAATCTGAGTTGTTTCTCAGGGCACCCTGAAGTAAGGATGGAGAGTTTGCAGCATTATGGCCCAAGTTCTCCTGGGCAAGTGTGAGGTCTGCTTGTTTCCCACCAGGTCAGGGTGGCCTGAGCTTCTGAGACTTGCATGTGAAAGTTGTGGTGGCTTGCTGACACAAATGTGCTGCTGTGTTTTTGTAGAACAGCTTTCTTTTCTCCCCCACCTTGCAGACGGCTGAAGCGTTGCAGCCCACTCTGCAGCCTGAAATGCAGCTTGAGCATGGAGCCATCCAGATCCAGTGAGACCAGACATTGTAGGAGAACCACACCACAGCTGCTCACTGACACTGCCCTGTGTCCTGCTCTCCTGATTCAGCAGGGCAACTGTGGGTTCTGCAGGGCACACGAGAGTTCCTCCCCTTGGGGAAGAGTCCTGGCCACCCCCTGCTGGAAGGAGCCTCAGGATTGAATTCCATTGCTGGTCTCCGGAGGAGAAGCATAGTGCAGAGCGTGTTGAGTACATTCAGAAAAACAAGAACTACAATATTTTGTTTAAACAGCTTTTTTTAAATTTGCTATGGTGTTTATAACAAAAAAGAAAAAAAAAAAAAAAAAAAACAAAAAAAACCCCAAAAAACAAAAACCCCAAACCACACATAACAGAAACACAACTGTGGAGTAGCAGAAGCTTTGGCCGTGTGCTCCCTTCAGGGTCCTGACATAGGTGTTGGAGACAGCTAACGATGCTGGAGCATTGCGGACCCGCTGCTAGGGGAAGTGCTCCACAGTGTAATTATGCATTTCTAATGAAATAAAGTGTATTTATGGCCACAGAGGCTCAGTGTTGTTGCACCATGAGAGGACTTCCCCAGGTTACCCGGTCCCAGGATGAGTGCTGGGATGCATAGTCATTTCCAGGTCCATGCTACCATGGAATTCCTGCTCTGGCCCTTACTGCTAGGGGAGTGTGAGCTGTGGGTACCCTTGGGGGCATCTGGCTTACATTTCATCATGGTGGAGCTCTCAAAGGCAAGGTCACTCCAGACCATCTTCTTCTGAATGCTTAGGCTTCATAAAGTGCAATCCCAGGGGTCCTTGGAGCATTCCCTGTGGAAAAGGCCATGCCTCTGCAGAGAAAGCAGTTTCAAAAAGTCACTGGCTTGTGAAATGCCAGTAAAGTTTTCCTCACTGACTGACACTGCCATGCTAAAGGCTTTTCCTGGGAAGACTTCAAAGTTCCTGTCCCAATTATCATGCCTCTGTCTCATACCACCACATTCTGAATTCTTGGGCCGGTTAATCATGCTGAGGTAGCCGAGTAGAGCAGCTCTCTGGAATAGACAGTTTGATATTTTTTGTGACCATTGTAGGAGACTGGCCACTGCTGAAGATGGCCCTGTGTGGGGGAAAATGGGGAAAGGCATGGAGGCTGGAGGTTACAAGCCTATGTAACACATCTGGGCTGGATCCCAGGCAAGAATGGAGAATTAAAGAATGGTTCTAGAAGGATCCAAAGAGAAAAGCACCCACATGAGAAGCATAGTATAAACCCTTACTCGGACATGCAGAATGTGAGATGGCAACAGACTCCAATCCTTGAAGACAGAGTACTGGGAGGTAATTGCTTTCAGGAGAGTCAGGTCTTCAGAAAATGTGTTTTGAAAGCTAGTGACAATGTACCATATGACCTCACAATTGTAATCCCAGGAATACCCTCTTTTCATTCATACACCTATGTGTGCAGGTTCACAAGAGTCCTATTCATAAGAACCTGAAGTGGAAATTGCCCAAAGGTCCAGCATATGAACAGGTGAAAAAAGCATGTCTCTGGATACAGAAGATTATTCAACTGCTACAAGATTGGCACTCTGGCCCACACCATGGCATGATGAACTTGAAAACATCAGTGAGTGAAAGAAAACAGAGGTCAAAGACTATTTACTGGAAGATTATATGAATGGACAGATTAATAGAAACAAATTGTCAGGATCTGAAGAGAGGGTTGGTGGGAGTTTCACACAGGGGATAGTGTGTTTTTGTGGGGTGGTAAAAATGGTCTGGATTGGATAATAGTTATTTTTGTCCTGTACATCAGGTCACTCAAAATGATGAAATGTTTGGTGTTCATACATCTCAAGATTATTTTTGATAAATGAATCGCATTTGGCAAAAGAATAAAAATTGAGTCCCTGTACTGGAAATGCCCCCTGGAAAGGTGGTTCCAAGGGAATTTCAAGACTAGAAAGATGGACTCCAATGGAAGTTCTTAGAGACCACTGGACCACATGGAATAGAAACAAATCTGAAATGATCTATATAAAATTAACTCTTTGAGATTAAAGAAATAGTGGAAAACATGACCAACTCAGGACAGGCAAGAAAAGAAGTGAATTATTTTAAAATACTTCTACTACCTTGAAGAAAAACTAGGAACGGTGCGCAATTTTAAGCCTTCAGTATCTGAAAACCATATAGAATCATGATACATAAGTATCTGTAAAGACTAGAATGCATGCTCAAGTAGCTAACAGCCCTGACCTTGTTCTCTGTAGAACATCACCCAGCAGTTTGAGGAAGGTATGTTCTTAAGTGTTCGCTGGAGTGTTGCTGAAGAACTTAGACCATCACAGGCTTTGAGCCATGTTGTGTTCTCTGGTCAGGTGGAATTAAGGTGAATTTTAATGAGGAAAAAAACATCCCATCAGTCAAATAAGTAAAAGTGGACGCATGAAGATAGCTTTCATTGAATAACAGGTTGAGATGTCAGAAACATGGAAGATATCAGGCGTGCTCAGAAAAAAAAAAAAAAAAAAAGACAAACTTGGGATGGAGAACCAAGTCTAGATTCAAATGACAAAACCAACATTGTTGCTATGGAAGATTATGCTTAGAGGATTCCATTCACACAGATGTTCAAATAGTTGGTAAACTCCTGATACAACCAATCAAGAAGGATGATGGACAATAGTGTCTCTATTGAGGGTTTCCAAAGACCCCCCCCCCTCAGACATTGGAAGATGAAGCTGTCCTAGAACTATATTGATGGATTGGGAAAAGGCAGATGGGATAACATCTAAGACCTTGACATCAGAATGGGGTGAGGTAGGAGAGAAGGAAGGAAGGACAGAGAAGAAGAAAAGATTGTTGTTGCTTATGAGTGTCTGAGCTACCCCAAAGCATGAACAAGCTGTGTTTAGTGACATCAAATGATGTGTCACCCCACCCAGATTGGGTTGGGTTCATTCATGTGTGCTTGATACAATAATCGGAAAGTCATTGTGACTTACTATGGTAATATGACCATATGGTTATCTTAGAAAAAAGGTTATGTAAAATTCACGTGTTTATGGTTCAGGGGACTTTCAGGAAACTCACAATCGAACAAAGTCATCTATAAGAAATCTGTGACAAATGTCCCCTGAACTTGGATTTGGAAAGCTTCTTGAACACGTGGCAGATGATGATGCCTGAAGCCTTGGTTACTCTGCATAATGGCAAGTATTAGTTAGCACTGAGTAGCCAGATGAGATTGGAAAGCCGATGTGAACCTCCTCCATCTATAGATACTGTGGATGTGTACACCTGACAGATGTCACAGGAACTGACCAAGAAAGCTGTGAGTGGGTCGTTTTCTGGGTGTTAGAAATCAACTCAAATCTCAATACAGAGACATCACAGTTGCTCTTTAATGCTGTTTATTATAGACTCCTAGAAGTCTCAGCCCACAGAAACAAATCTTAACAAGAGATGCTGAGGAAGCTGTTACTGAACTAGAGAAAAGCCAAGTGAAATACAGGGTGGGCAGCTCACGAATCAAAGCATCATTTGTGAAGGAGTGGGTTCTCTGAATGGTGCAGCCAGTGAAGTTTCACCCCGAAGCCAGGCAGGAGCTTCTGTGGCAGTGGACAAGAGTAATGACTGGAGAGTTGGCTCTGTGGTTAAGAGTGCCCCCTTTGAGACCCCCCGCCCCCCCAATCCCATGGCAGGCATACACACAGAAGTAAAAAAAATAATCTTTAAGAAAACCCATGTGAATCCCAGCAGCAGATAGTGTGGAACCCTGTGACACTTAGGACAGACCCATAATGAAGATATGAGGCTGCTGGGACAAGGAACACATGTATCACAGTGAAGCTGGTGGCAGCTGGAATCTCACAAGGAGCCAAGTGTGGAGGTGTATAAACTAGGTGGTGAACTCTGACCTTGGCTTGGGCAAAGGTCACTTGCTGGATATAAAAGTCTGGAGTAAAGGAAAAGCTGGCAATGCTAAGCTTACACCAGAAGACACTGCTTAGGTGCACACAATGGCACAAACCTGTTATTCCAATGCCTGGGAGATGGAGGCAGCAGAATAGGAATCCTGTGTCATCTTTGCCTACATGAAACCCTGTCTTTTACAAACAACAGAACTGTTAAAGGATATCCCAGCACCTAGAAGAGATTGGCCCCATTTCCTTAGTACATATGAGACTTAGCAGATCTTCTCAGAGTCTGTGAGTGATAAAGACAGCTTCACGGTTCAAGAGAACCTGAGGGGCAGAGGAGGCCTGGTCTTACTAAAGTCTTCCAGTTATGGAGAGACAGTGAGACTACCATTTACTGCTGAGATTCTGCTCTGCCAAAATAACAAAAAGGCAAAGGACTGAAACATTTACTGGATCTCTTTGTGCCTAATAAACATAAAAGGATTGGCCTTACTGCACTGAAATACCTTTTAAACCACTATGGTTTACTAGAAAAGCCTGCAGAGGCAAGAGTGTGAACAACGGCACTCCCTGGGGTGAAGTGATGCCTTATTCGTCTCCATAGAGGGTGTACTAATGATTTCTAGGGAGCACAGGTACAGAACCAGATCCCAGAGCTCTGCTGGCACAGGGGTGACCCTTCCCCAGCCTGTGATCTTCAGACAGCACTACACTGCCCCAGAAGACTTGGGCAGAGAGGAGGAGCAGATAACTCGCTGCAGTCACCCTGACAGGTTCGATGGACACATCTAGTATGGACTGAGGCAGTATGCCTCATCTGCCTTGTTAACTGTAGTCATTGCTGGTGGGAGGAACTCCACAGATAAGACTATACACCTGACAGTGGCGTATTCTGTTCCGGTGTGCTCACTAGACACAAGGGACAGGTGCTTGCTAACAGCTCCGTATTGCAGGGGCTCCTGTGACAGAAGGAGGAGGGTGCCAGCCATGGGGAAAGCAAAGTGGCTCTCTTGTTGTGGGCAGGATAACAGAGTGGTGGCCTAGAAGATACCTGTGTCTTTTGTTCAAACAGCACATGATTCAGGCAGTATGAGGAAGTCTGAACAGGAAATACACAATGGGACACTCCTTAGTCTTTGGAGCTGTTACTAGGACACAAGAGAGTGTTACTTCCAAACTAATAGGGTGGAGAAAATTACAACCAGGAAAAATACCCAGCCAGTCCAAAGAAGGGACAGGGCACAGGGGTGTCATGGTGATAGTCGAGCCCCTGAAGGGACATTTGAAGCATGGAAGAAATGAAAGCTCAGGTGAGGAAGGGGCACTTGGGAGTTGGGGATAAATGGGATCATTTTTTTCCTCTCTCTTTTTTTTTGGGGGGGGGTGGGGTTCAAGACAGTCCTAGAACTAGCTCTTGTAGACCAGGCTTATCTTGAACTCACAGAGATCTGCCTGCCTCTGCTTCTCGAGTGCTGGTATTAAAGGTGTATGCCACTACCGCCCAGTGGGGGTTATTTTTCTTTTGGGCTGAGTGGTCTGTCAGACCAAAGTGGTTGTGCTGGGCCTTACAGCTAGTTGGACAAGCACTGGACCAGACAGCAAAACTTACAGGCCCCAATGAACTCC